CCGGCAACAAACCATGAAGCGCTACGGCATTTAGATAGTAATCACATTGAGGGTCGTTATTATCTCGAGCAATGTTAATATTGACATCACCCACAATTACGATATTATCATAAGACTTTAAGTTTTTCAAAGTATTATCAAGGCAACATAAGAAGTTGTCTATGTCTCTTTGAGACGGCGAGCGATAAAGAGCGATGACAGCAAAACTGGAAGATAATTTCAGAAGAATACCGCTAGCGTTATTCATTACAATTACCTCATGACTAAAAGGGATGTCTTCTTTAATATATATGACTACACCGTCATTTTGATTGGAATAATCTGACTTCATAGAAACATACCCAGGTAATAGTGGAAGCAAGGGGCATTTGCTTAACCAACATTCAGTGAGAACAATTATATCCAATGGAATATCAATTCGCTGCAACAGAGTGAGTAATTTAGAAAAATTACAGTTTACACTTCTAATGTTTACCTGAAAAACATTGAAAGATTTGTTGGGATTATTTAGAAACGATTTACAGTTTTCCGGCAAACAATTATACGACCGAGAAACTTGAAACTGATCAAAGTCATCTATGATATTTGTATTAAGCATGATAAAAGTATGAAATTAAAGGGAGTATATGAAGGCAGCAGCGTAGGATCTGAAAAATGAATATTAATAAATTTACGATCTTTGGTTTTTGGGAAGGTTGGTACGAGTATGGATAGAAGCCACAAGTTCACACATTCGCCAGAATAGACTATGAAAAAAGTATAGCATTGAGTGGTTAGTAGTACTAATATGACGGACATTGAGCGACTCATTTGGCACCGCAAAAGCGAACCTGATATATCTATTTGCAGTGTCTTATTTGTTAAAAGCAAAGTACACAAGTAAATATGATAGTATGAATGATTTAAATTATGAAGCATTTGATTTATGAGCACAACAGATAGCCATAATTTACATGCAAAAAATAACGCAGAGAAAATTGTATCAGCATCAATTACAAATAGTCATTCTGTTTCTTTTAATTTATTAAGGTCAGATTCTTCATTTATCCGGATAGTTTTGTCACCTTCTTTTTTCTTAGATAAATATGCCCATGGGCCACCCAGCAAAAGGAGTAACTATTGGAGCTTGCGAAATCACGCGCAAGAAAGTGTAATCTTTTCATCTTAGGTGAAAGATTATCTGATAGATATATTTGTTTATGAAGTTCACAACGTAGGTGTAGGTGCTCAGTGTTTAACCTGTTCTCTTTGTGAGTTTTATTAAAGTTCTTATAGCACGTAAGAATCTTTTCTTTCATCAATACGCTATTTAATTTGCATACAATGGGTTTATTACTCTTGTCTTTTGTTGATATTCTATATATGTCATGAATATCAGAAGTCGACGCACCTGCATTCAAAACCGAAGATAAACTTGTAAATATGTTCAGAAGGTCGGCTTTTGTTTCCGCTTTAGAAATTGGAATGTTTCTAATTTCAATTGATGAAAATCTATATTTATGTTCTAGTGCCTCAATTTTGTCCTCCAAGGTGCGAATGTAAGCAATATTATCACCATTCTCCGCTTCTATCCTACTTACTCTTTGTTTGAGTTCTATATTTTGTTCAGATAAGAACTCAATTGAGAACTGTATATTATCGTTTTGCCCCCTGACTTCTGCTATTATACCCTGTAGCGAGTCCAACTTTTCTTCCTGTCGCTGCTTCATTTCTGCAATGGATTTCTGCAGAATATCAAGATGTGTCCAGAAGTGTATTTTGTAAAGACCGATAAAATAAATCATTTTTTTATTACACTGTGGTATTAATATCCACAACTATATTATCATTTTCACTAGATGCAAATATGCTCAGACAATTATTATAGATGGTAGGCGACATCATAAAGTCTATTGCTATACATTTTTCGCCAAACACCTCCATAAACACATTATAATCTGTATATTATGTTAGACTTTAAGGTATCTATATATGGGCCTACGTTCCCTGACTATAAATTAATAATTTGAAATTACATTACTGTTACAGACTCATTGTTTCATTGACATGTTGCATTTATTAAATCAATTATAAATTTCTGGTTTCCTAAACATACAGACTTAATATTGCCGCCATGTAAACCATGCGAAAAATGTGATAAGATACTTATCTACGCAATGTGCACAACCGACTACGCGCACTGGCTCCGGCTCATGCATTTCGCTGTTTTTGCCGGCTCGTTTCGATATGGATATTTTTTACGGAAGGCATGCACACACACGCTACAACAAACACACACGTACACACTCATTTACACAAAGTTAGTTATCATGCTCCTTTTATAATTTTGATTTTTATAGGTATTTATATTTATCGTAAAATTAATTTGAATCTTTGTTGGTATTTCTTTTATATTACTGTTAATTTGTAATTTCTACCCTACGTAATCATTTTAATTTTTAAATTGAATAGAAAGTTAGTTTCTGTAATTGGCTAAAGTACCGTTTAAAATTTTATATTAGATTATATTGTGTAAAACGCTGTTGAAATTTGTTGATGATAAAAAAAAAAAAAAAAAAAAAACTAAAATTAGGTTATCTTAAAAACATAACAAAAATAATGAAGCTACTGAATATATGGCTATAGAACCTAAATCTCTTAGCTTTCTTTGGTTAACAAGATTTTAAAAATTCTCTGTAATTTCTGGCTCATTCACAATCATCACAATCTGTCACAGAGTACCTTATGGGCCTACCACACGCACGAGCTTCACCACAGTTTTGCCTGCGCAGGCCGGTTTGTACACGGAACACTGTGCGTGTAGTTGGTAAAACTGTATCACGCGCCAACCCCACAGCGCGGCCTGCGCATTTTTCGACTTGCTTGAAATTTTGCTTGCGCAAGCCCGGCCTGCGCGTACTTGTCTGTGCGTGTGGTTGGGCGTTCAGTGTTCAAGCCACAGTCGAGTGTACTTTGTGTCGAGGCTCGCTCGTCGTTTCATGAGGTCGTTCGTCATCGTCACACAAAAATGGTAGATTTGCGTACGTACAATCGCGAATTCACGTCTGAATTAATTAGTTAATACAAATCTCTGCCTGCACTCTGGAAAATTAAATCTTAAGATTATTCCGACCGAAATAAAAAGAACGACGACTACGAAAGAATGATAAATAAAATGAAAGAGGTAAAAACATAATTTTTGCAACTAAATACCTATGCCTAATACCTACCTACTTGCACATATTATGTACATATCCTATCGTTTTTACATGTTTTTTTTAATAGCAAACACTTAAAACATAGTAGCATAAGAAATGTTTCTTCATTAGAAAACATTGTTTCCACGCCAATGATTTCGATAAGAATGAGGCTTGCGCGTACTTAACTGTGCCGTGTGGTAACACACAAAGTGTACAGTTTTTTCATGCGAGATGCTTGCGCAGGCCAAACTGTGGTGAAGCTTGTGCGTATGGTAAGCGCATTATGGGCCTACCATACGCACGAGCTTCACTACAGTTTTGCCTGCGCAGGCCGGTTTGTACACGGAACACGGTGCGTGTAGTTGGTAAAACTGTATCACGCGCCAACCCCACAGCGCGGCCTGCGCATTTTTCGACTTGCTTGAAATTTCGCCTACGCAAGCTCGGCCTGCGCGTACTTGTCTGTGCGTGTGGTTGGGCGTTCAGTGTTCAAGCCACAGTCGAGTGTACTTTGTGTCGAGGCTCGCTCGTCGTTTCATGAGGTCATTCGTCATCGTCACTCAAAAATGGCAGATTTGCGTACGTACAATCACGAATTCACGTCTGAATTAATTAGTTTATACAAATCTCTGCCTGCACTCTGGAAAATTAAATCTAAAGATTATTCCGACCGAAATAAAAAGAACAACGCCTACGATAGAATGATAAATAAAATGAAAGAGGTATAACATAATTTTGCAACTAAATACCTATGCCTAAAATCTACTACCTACATTGTTTCCATGCCAATGATTTCGATAAGAATGAGGCTTGCGCGTACTTAACTGTGCCGTGTGGTAACGCACAAAGTGTACAGTTTTTTCGTGCGAGATGCTTGCGCAGGCCAAACTGTGGTGAAGCTTGTGCGTGTGGTAAGCGCATTATGCATTAACTTTAAAAACAGGCAACTATCTGTTAATCTACATGCTCTATATACCTGAATCTAATCCATAATTTCGGTACTTGGCTTGATTTCTCTAGTTTACTATATAACTTACTTGTTTTTTATTATTTTAATATGTTCAGTGTATATGGTTTATAGAAGTTCTCAGGGGTGTCCGTCAATAATATTCGTTTATACAGTAATTTGTATATAATTTTGAATCTAGGAAACAATTTTTCATGATTATTGGTTTTTAGGCCAAACATGTATGGAAGCTGAGCAATCTCCAATTTCACCCAAATCCGTTCAGCCGTTTTTGCCATACAAATATACAAACTTTCACATTTATAATATTAGTATAGGTTTTTGGTAAGATCATGGTTGATTCATCAAGGCCCCCTGTAATTTTATTGCAAGATCGATTGTAATTGATTTTTTTCCTGTGTTAAGTTAACGGTTAAATTATTATCTGAGACGCTAGTCAAACGTCAAACCAAGGACTTCTACCACAACTGACCTAACCAAAATATTTAAGTACTAACTTACTTCTTACCTGACATGAAGAGCACAACCGTAACAGTGCCTAACAACAGTGCACGTATTTTTTTTGTATAAGTTTATTTGTGAACACCAATCAATATCATTAGCACGAAGATGAAATAAATCTCTCTGACTGATCGCACTCATATTTTCCCGCTATTTAATAATCAAGTTAAATACGCAATCAACCTACCATTTCGTGGCTATTATGGTATCCAGGAACTAAAAACTACAACAAATAGAAAAGGGCGAAACATATCAATAAATCATTTCTAAAAAATAAATTACTGTTCTTCATACGGACAATAAATACATTGTTCAATATTGTTTCTCATCTGTGACTTAGTGGGCTTCGTGTGATTTTGTGAAATGGAACGTGACTGTCATTTAGTTGTCAAATGAAAAATGGCGGTGGCACTCGTTAGTTCGGCTCGTCAGGGTAAATTAAATATTTTTATTTCCAAACTAACTAAGTGAAATAGTTTGTTAAATGATGTTAATATTATGCTAGCAATATATTAAAAATCCTTCATTTTTTTTCTTAGTACTTAAATAACAGTCACTGTGATGTTTTATTTGTATGACGTTGTTTATCAGCTGTTTATGATTTAAATCTACAAATAACACAAATATTTGATTTTATCAACTATAGTGATATTTTTCACATAGTTATATTCAAAAGAATTAATGTGAATAAAAATTTAATTAAAGAACATTATGCAATTTGACATTCTAATGCTAAGTTCAAAGTTCAAACTTCATTTGTTTTGATACAGTTAATAATTAAATTTACAGTGGGGAGGCTAACAAGACTGTATTCTGATGTTTATCCCAAAATAACAACACATTATACAATACATCCTAGAGATAAGGACCCAAGATGGAAAGGTAAGTGTTGATAACCTCAAATATTACCAAAACATTACAGTTTATCAGTACACTGATGCTATCATTAACATTGTTTAAAGTTATTTAATGTCGCAAGAGAGGTACTTACATCGACCTGCTTAGTTACATGTTCAAAAAAATGTTTTTTGAATTACCATTAATTTATTCAAAAGTATGGACCTGTTCCCGCGTTTTGCTAGTGCATTACTCATGAAGAACATTTAAAATGTTATTCTGATAATGTTTCATGCATTTAAAAATCTTTCATACAAACCTTGTATTCAAAATTACAAGCACAACAAAAAAAGATGAAATAACTATTTTACAAACAATTTAAAGTCTGGAACAGTTTTTTTTTGAATAGTAAACTAAGTTTGAACCTCTTTAAGAGCCCTTTTACAAAATTGCGCCCCTGCCGTTCTGATCGACGCGTAGGTAGATTTGCACTAGTATATATTGCATTTTACGGGTGATGTTTCGAAACTTATAAAATAATTATTAATGAACTAATTATAAAAATATATACATATTTCAGTAGTTCAATGATAGTAAATTAGTTTTTGTTAAGTAGTATTTCTATGTAATTCAATATTAAAATGCGAGGTAAACCTGCATTATTTTTTGGGAAAACTCATGGAGGAACATTATTGCGAGTTTGAGGCATTTGAAGTTGTGCATATTATCGTTTTTTCTGTAAACTAGCTGCAGTAGAACGATTAGTACAAAAAAAGGAAAATAGTATTTGCAAATATTCTAAATTAAGTTACAATAGGAAGAATAAATCCACTGTTAACTTCTATTGGAAATAGTCAAAATCTTTTCAAAGGGGGTAAACAAGGCGCTCAAAAATTATGATTTTTTGAAAAAATGTAAAAGGGCTCATAAGAAGATTAAGTGATTTGTATAGCAAATCTATGTATATAAAAATAAATCTTTGAAAAGTTTGTATGTGCATCACTTCGGAATGACAACTAAATTAGATAATTCTTTTTTTATTGTGTTCATTATTGTCAGAACAAGGTTAGTAGAAAAAAAAATGGTTGCCTGTAAAGTCGGTTTTACGGGCGAAGATTTTACGTGACAACGTCTTTTTCTCGGTAGAATATTTATTGATATGAATATAATTAAATTGCACAATAGGAACAAGGAATTGAATGAAAATAAGAATTGCACAAATTTTAACTATAGAAATATATTTTGTTTACTAAAACATTGTACATGTAAACTTAAACTTAACACGAGAGACTCATCGTAACGTTACCGAGCGTTACACTTTTTCATAAGTGACTCCCAGCCGCAACCTAATTTAAGACGTTGTCACGTCAAAAAGGCAACAGAAATATTTTAAAACTTTCAATGAAAAATTAGTGGCTATGTAAAAAATCCATTATTATGAAACTTCTTTTAAAATATCACAATATGAAAAGAGGCTGTCAAGATTGACAGTATGATGTCAAAATACATTTAACCCCTTCTTTAGCAATAGCAAAACGCTATTACGTGTTTTTTGATTTGTGTTTAGAGATTTTTGACGTGACAACGTCTTAAATTAGGTTGCGGCTGGGAGTCACTTATGAAAAAGTGTAACGCTCGGTAACGTTACGATGAGTCTCTCGTGTTAAGTTTAAGTTTACATGTACAATGTTTTAGTAAACAAAATATATTTCTATAGTTAAAATTTGTGCAATTCTTATTTTCATTCAATTCCTTGTTCCTATTGTGCAATTTAATTATATTCATATCAATAAATATTCTACCGAGAAAAAGACGTTGTCACGTAAAATCTTCACCCGTAAAACCGACTTTACAGGCAACCATTTTCATCTAAGTTTTAATGGTTATTGATAAGAAAATACCAGTGTCAAGAATTATCCAATTTGGTTCAGTCATTCTGTGCTGATGTTGTACATACTTTTCGATGATTAATTTTTATATAATATAGATTTGTTTGACATTTACTCCAAATTAGTAAGATAAGAACATAGATAGTATATTATATTTTCTTACTAGATATTTATAGAAATCTAATGTTATCATTGAAATTGTTCATGTAAAATCTAACATTGGGGGAACAGTAGCTTCTTCTGGAATAACAGTGATATTGTTAGAAAAATGTAGTACTTAGATAGATTAAGATCTTTCAGGAGTGAAATGATTTTACTGTCTAGCTACAGATTTCCGCGACAGATATTCCAAGTTTGACTACTGCCAATGAAATAATTTAATTTGTAATGCCATGTAGTGATATAGAGTTACAGTGCTGAACAATCAATCTACCGAAGATTTCTCCGATCAATTGCTAACTATAGAAAAAACTGTTCCTGTCGAGTGGATACTTTTCATTTCCTCCAAATGATTGTAAGCAGTACGAAGTTGTTTCTGATTATATAAATAAATTATAATTATGTATTTGTAGAAGTAAACATGGAACGTATGGCAGAAGAGACAGATATCCTAATTATTGGAGGAGGTCCTGCAGGTATGGCAGCGGCAATCAGGGCCAGACAGATCGCCGAGCAGAAGGGGGCTGTAAGTTATTATTATATTAGTTTGAGACACTAAAAAAAACTAATTAAATAAGATCTTAGAAAAATCTCCACAAGTATGCAGATCAGTGCTTTGTAGGGAAGAACCCATTTTAGGGTTGGCACATCTTCAAAGATTCACCTAAAAGTAATGAATATAAAGATATACATACCTATCTTAATAAAGCCTTACATTATGGCATTGGTTGGGCCCTATAATGTTGTCTGGAATCTGTTTCCTAATATGCCTTGTCCATTGTCATATAAAAAAAAATGGATGCTTGTAACTTATGTACGAGCGTGAGAAGTTATACTTCTTTAGCATCATTAAAAATATTTTTTAATTGCATGCAAAAAATTAATAATTACAATAAAATAATAAAAGGACTGGAAAAGGATAGTTAACACAGTCAATTAAGTTCAGTTTTAATTTGAAAAATTAAATAAATATTCAAAATATTCAATTAAAATCACTACTGAATTTAAGTTATTAGTCCATATGTAATAAGCACTTGTAAGTAACTAAAACACGTTGTGTCTATATAGAAACTAGAAACATGTGGATAAATATTATAAATATGAAAACAGTGATCAGAGGCGACGAGCGTGCCAACATTGTTTTTGACAACGCGATCATCTTATGGAGCTCCGTGGATCGTTCAAAGTACCTTTCGAACAGATGTCTAATAATAGTGGATTATTAACCACTAAGTGGTTAATAATCCACCATTATTAGACACTAACATTCATAACGCGCCCGCGGCCAACTTCATGGTGTTACTATTGTGTTACAGTGATGCGCGCGCATCTCGAAATTTCACTCACATGATTTTTTCATAACGCGCCCGCGGCCTTCTTCATGCTGTTACTTTTGGGTTACAGTGATGCGCGCGCATCTAAAAATTTCACTCTCATCGTTTTTTCATAACGCGCCTATAAAGAAGTATAACTTCAAAAAACCGGCCAAGTGCGAGGCGGACTCGCGCACCGAGGGTTCCGTACAAATTCAATGTAATACCTCTAGATGTTCATGAGAAAAGAGGAACTTTAAAATTTTCAAAAATATTTTTTATTATATGATGTTAATTAAAATTTACGGTTTTCGCAATTTTTCCTTTATCTGTACGAAAAGACGGTACTTCGTAGCAAATTTCAAGATTCAAAGTTACACGGGAAGTACCCTGTAGGTTTTGATTCCTGTGCGAGTTTCAAAAATTTGCGGCATAAACGGCTGTATCTTTTGATTGCTTTGGCTTAGAAGTTTGATTTTTTCACAGCTCCAAGGAACAGTAGACCTGAGTATTAGATATGAATTTCAGTTTGGTACCTCCATGCGTTCCTGAGAAAAACGGTCTTGACGGTCGGATGGACGGTTCCGTTTTTTCCTTTTGAGGTACGGAACCCTAAAAAGGGCTTTTAATGTGGGAAATGTAAAAATTTAGTTTTAAAGCTTTATGGATAGGTCAAAATAAAATTAAAAAAGTACTTGAGCACCAGCACTACCTCGATAGGCTCACCGGAAGGGCATTGAACTATTAATTGCAAGGGGGGTTGAACCAAAATCCAAACTCAGTTTGGGTTGTCTATATATTAAAATTTCTAACTGTTTCATGATTTTTCTCGAATTTAGAAGCTAGGTCCAATTATCATCTTATATTTATAATCCTTACCTGAATTTTACATAATGGAATAATTTTCTCATACTGGATATATTCCTTTTTAGTAAAAAATTACATGCGCTTACTGTCTTTGCATCTTTTTTACGAGTTGGTTGTATGTAAAGGTAGTCTCGCTTTCTTGTAATGAAAAAAGGGTTATTCCATGGTCCAATATAAAATTTCCTATAATAAAAAAAACCGCCTACTTACGTCTGAAAAGAAACAGTCGTCAGATTAGCACATCACAAAAGAAAATGTATAAAACAAAATAAATTTAGAGAAATTAAACAAACTTTGTCTCCTGCTAAAACAAAATATATGTACATGTAAATTACCGAAATATTTAAAGGAAAACACTATTTGAATTTTGAAAACACATCATTAAAAATTATTGATAAGCTTTTAAGATTACTCAATATTAAATAAGATTAAATCTTGAAATTGACTTAAAATTTTTCTTCTTTTTGTACTTTCCAAAAGGCAAGTATAGGAATCAGTCTAGATAAAGCCTTGCTAAGCCATAGAAAATAAAATTAACGCATGGAAAAGGATTGATCCATGGAAAAGGAGAACCATTGAGACAACCTAATCAGAGGCCTTCAACCAAACAAAATTCATGTGACAACCTAATCAAAGGCCTTCTATCTCTCTCTTCAACCAAACTAAACTCTTGTGACGTTTTTAACATGTTAATTTATAGATTTACTATCTGCAATAAAAAGTTGGCAGTAATAACAGTGCAGCTGGCACTTCAATGTTTATTTCTATGTGTTTCACTCCCAATGAAGTGGGAGTAAAAAAATATGGCCTGGGAGTTTATGAGAGTACAGATAAGTAACTTTTATTTCATTTTTACACAGGAAGTCCGAGTCACTTTGTTAGAGAAAGCTGCCGAGGTTGGTGGTCACATACTATCGGGTGCTTGCGTAGATCCGGTTGCTCTGAATGAGTTGATACCAGATTGGCTAGAGAAGGGTGCTCCGATGAACACTCCTGTCAAAGCCGATAAGTTTGGTCTGCTCACGAAAACTGGAAGAATACCTATTCCAGTATTTCCAGGTATATTTAGTGTTTTTCTACTCTGAGCTGTAGATCTCTAAAACTTTATGCACTGTATAGAACACACTGAAAAGAGCTGGAGGATGCCAGAAGGCACACCGTACATAAATTTGAAGAAAATAAATAAATATTACTAACAAATTATAATGCTTGGTTTTACGTATACATAATCTTTTTTTCTCTTTATTAGGGTAAACAAACAATGACAATCTTGTCACACTATAAAGTAATACTACCAGTGTACTAATTATATTTAACCCATACGTATCTATAGTCATTATTTTTAGCAACCTCACGACACTGGCGTAACAAAATTTTACTTCTTTACTAAGGTTAAGGTGAGGCCTAACATGTATTTTTTTAGTGGAGTTGTGCATTGCTGGAAATCAGTGTCCTTTGATTATTTGCATTCTGTTTAAAATAAAAAACCCATAAATAATGGCACATTGCGACAGAAGATGAGGTTTTAATTTTAGTTCAGAAAAAAAATTGCCAATTATTTTTATGTTCTCACAGAACTATGGTATTCATGAAAGCTATTATGTAGTTACTGAAACTATAATAAATTTCAGGACTACCGATGTACAATCATGGCAACTATGTGGTGCGACTGGGACATTTGGTTCGTTGGATGGGAGAGCAAGCTGAGGCAGCCGGGGCAGAGGTAAAGAAATATGCTAAAATGAGCCTTATTATCATAAATTTAGGACAACCAAATTTTTAATTTTCATGTATACTTTTACACCATTAAAACTTGATAAGCTTATATTTTTGAGTACAGAATAAAGTAGGTAAAAACAAAATAGAAAATCATTTTAAAAAACTACTTTAAATAATAATAATATTTCTTTTATTCATGCTAAAAAACATATAAGGTACAAACATTTTACAGCTGTGAAATTTATTTTTAATTTTATGCATAAGGCAGTAGTCATACAATGAAAAAGTATAACTGACCCTAGATAGGCTATGAATATGGCCTGTGTGTAGGGATTCAGTCCCTTCTAATAGTTTAATTAAGATGACACAGTAATATGTTATAGGATAGCGAAAAGTAGTTCAGGTAACAGCATTTGTTCATGACAAAGATATAAATTGCCTGACTACATAAAATGGATAGAATACGCGTATTGTGTGGTGTGTGTGTTGGTTGTATGTGCGTGTGTGTGTATGTGTGGGTGCGAGGGTGATTAAGTGCAAGTGATGTTATTTAGGATACAACAGCGAGCGATTTCCTCATATGATTGCAATGGCCTCCGTGATAATGATCACATTAATATTATAAAGGCGAAAGTTTGTGAGCGTATGTTTTTTACTTCTTCACGCCGAAACGGCTGGAGCGATCTTAATAAAATTTTGTATGGAATTAGCTGACACCCTGGATTAACACATAAGGCTAAAATTTTACTGTGGGAAAATAACCCTAATAAACCGCGGGTAACACCGCGGGGCACAGCTAGTAATAAATAATTACATTATCGTTTTTCTTGTTCTAGCATTCCCTTAACATTGCAATAATAATCTTATTAGTATAATGTTTTTTAAGTTGGATGAATGAGCAATACTTTTGTTGCATGATTAAGTAAAGTTGTGAAATATTTTTGTAATGTTCTCAGTTTCCTCATATGATGGAAATGGCCTCTGTGATAATGATAATTAATAATTACATAATCTATTTTCTTGTTCTAACATTACCTTAACATTGCTATAACGATCTCATTAGTATAATGTTGTTTAATTTGATGAATGAGCAATATTATTGTTGTATGATTAAGTAAAGTTGTGAAATATTTTTCTCATGTTTAAAATGTTTGTTATATGTATTAATTTTTTCATTATTGACATGTTTCTCTCTGCATATTTCTTAAAACTTTTATTTCATTTTCAATGCACATACATTGCAAGTGAAATAAAATTCATTATATTATGTTCGTTTGGACAAAATCATGAAACTAAATTTTAAAGTAGCTTTCTTCAACCAATTGAGATGAAATTTTTAGAGATGGACGTTTTTAGATATTTCTGTACCCCTAGCACGAACCATTATCGAATTCGAATAGTTTGCAAACCGAAATGTCAATGTCAAGTTTTGTATGGAAACTTGAACAGCAGCAGCACAAAGTACGTAACGAGATCTAAAAATCAGTACTCATTTGACAATGACATTTCGGACTCGCAAACGATACGAATTCGATATTGGTTCGTGCTAAGGGTACTGAAATTGATGCGCATCGATATCAGATAAATCGCCATCGATGCGCGCATTGATCCTACTATATTATTATAAATGTGAAAGTTTGTATGTTTGTTACTCAATCACGCAAACACTACTAAACGGATTTGGATGAAATTTTATATGCATATAGTTTATGTTTACCTGGATACTTTTAATCCCGGAAAACTGTTAGGTTCCTGAGATATTTTCAAAAAACTAAATTTAACGCGGACGAAGTCGCGGGCAGCCGCTAGTTTTATACAGGGTTAATTTTAAAACACCAACAACCTCTTAGGGGGGGACATCAACAGGAACTTTTACTATGGGACCAACGCTGAAATAGCGAAAAAATAATCTGCTGTTTTATACAAAGGTGCATCAGCTAATCGACCGAAATGTATGAAACAGCCGTTTTTTTTTTTCTTTATTTCAGAGTTGGCCCCATAATAAAAGTTGTTTCTGTTGATGGGTAGAATGACCACCTAAGAGGCTGTTGCTGTTTTAAAATTAACCTTGTATATAGAAATAATTTTAATAAAATATATTGTTAATAGATCTGGCCTGGTTGCGCGGGCGCAGAGCTCTTGTTTCGCGACGACGGTTCGTTAAAGGGAGTGGCCACGGGAGATGTCGGTATCGCTAAAGATGGAAGTCCTAAAGACATGTTCGAACGGGGAATGGAGTTTCATTCCAAGATCACCATATTTGCCGAAGGTCAGTATTATATATGTATTTGATTCTATAATACGACTTTCGTTGAAGGTCAATTGAAATATAAATAATTATTTCCAACACACCAATAAACTTAGCCCAAAAATAAGCACTGTACTGTCCTTTATGGGATACTAGGGTAACGGGTAGAATACATAATACTGATACATATACAAGTATATTTTACGTAGAAATATCGATTTAAACTCAGTAATGTTGTCGTAAAAAATAGGCTATTAAGTAAAATATTTGCTTTGAGAGGAAAGAATTTACGTAAAGCAAATATCATATTTTTCTTTTGAATAAGTCTGTTTTCTTATTTTCTCACGTTTGTTTTAGGTTGCCACGGGCATTTAACCAAGATGGTGTCAAATAAATACAATCTCAGGGAGAACAGCGAGCCACAGTCTTACGGCATCGGCTTGAAAGAGTTATGGGAAGTGCAGCCTGAGGTATGTTTCAACTTATTTGCTTCTTTTTATTATTTAGCGCTTTCATTTTGCGAATGCGGCTATAGGATATTTGACAAAGTTTTAGAAAACGATCTCACGTTATTGGCTAATGTTTATGGACTCCATAAAAAGTGGTTATTTATCATCCTGTTGTGTAATCCATTCTAATAATGAAATTAAATGATTTGCTTTCAAATATGCCGCTGAGTTGTTTCTCTGTGCAATATGGAGTTTTGCCTATTTGTGACGTCACACGGCTGACATTTAAACGTCAAAGAGTACAAGGAATGTTACGTGACCAGATGTTTACATAATTATGTGTGACGTCATTTGAAGCTCTGCCAATCCTAGTCGTTTTCAGTCACGTGACAGTAGATAAAACTTTGCCTCTTGTGAAATACTCCCACCATACTTGGAGATCAACTCTAATTCAACAAAAACGAAATTTCGATCGAAACTTCGCACTTTTCTTACCATGTTTCTGGTTCGTTTTTAATTATAAAAATATTCGTCGTCGGAATATAGATTGAGGTGTAGATTTTCTAAGCCTACTCAAAGCTTCGATTTGATAGTTTATCGTTCAAATTAACTATACCCTTAAATTGACGAAATTAAATTTCGTTTGAACTTCGTTATCGAAAGTTCGTTTCGGAAAAAGAGAGTAAATCCCCTGAACGTCTAGAGTAGCAAAATTTTGCTCGCGTCCCAATCGCCAGTCTTATGAATAGGAGGTATTTGAGGGTACACTTAACGTTTCTGAGGACGGAAAAAATATTAATCTGCTGGTTTGCATGGTGGCCGTTCGAAGGGGTAGAATGTAGGGGAAAAAATATACGAACGCGTCAGAAATTAAGTAGATATGTTACTAGGGTTTGAATATCAAAATCTCGAATAACGAATATCGTAGCAAAATTGCTAAATTTCGATTTTGAATTTATGAATATAGAAATTTGCAATACTGACAATTTAATGAAAATAAAATAAAAAATTATCATTAAAGCATATCCATAACCGAGTTTTCAACAAGTTATTAAATACCATGTTACTGTAAAATAGGGTATTTGACAAGTTTTAGAAAACGATCTCACGTTATTGACTAATGTTTATGGAGTCCGTAAAAAGTGGATATTCATCATTCTGTTGTGTATTTCAGTAAAAATAACCAAATCAAAAACTCCATTTTCAAGTTGCCGTGAAAACGTTTTTCTGGACAATATGGACTCTTACTAGTGTGTGACGTCACACGATTGTTATTAAAACGTCAAACGATACAATGTAATGTTACTTTAACCGGAAGTTTACTTGCGTGTGGCGTCATTTTAGGCTCCGCCAATCCCAAGCGTTTTGGGTCCCGTGACAATAGATAAGAAAACTATTATCTTTATCGAGGGTTTTTAGTAAAATTATGAACCCGGAGCACACACTGCAGGACCATCAGATACTATTAGTTCTTTTTGTTTGCATAATTTAACATAAGAAGGAGATAGAAATCCTCTCTTGAGTTTGTTTCGCCGGTTCTTCTTAGAAAGGTCTCCCAATTTTGGAACCGGTGGTAGTTTACGGTAGTTAGGGTCAAATAAATAAACTCAAAATTAAAAAAAAGAATTTGAAATAAAATACTTTATTAAGTAAATTAAATAATAAATTCATACATAGACAATAAAACCTCTGTGAAGTTAGCCCCCCACTTTTTGAATTTTATTATTATCTAGGTTGTTCTGGGTTGTTCTATGTTTGTTCTACATTGTTCCAAAGTATTATTTGAAAAAACTCAAATTTGAAGCTGCCAGACAAGAAAAACCGTTTTTCTATGGTAGCCCCCCATGTTTGGAAATTCAATATTTTTTTAGTTGTTCCAAGTTGTTCTAGTTGTTCCGAACGTTGTTCCAAAGTATTATTTGAAAAAACTCAAATTTGAAGCTACCAGACAAAAAAAACTTTTTTATGGTAGCCCCCCATGTTGGGAAATTCAATATTTTTTTAGTTGTTCCAAGTTGTTCTAGTTGTTCCTAACATTGTTCCAAAGTATTATTTGAAAATATTCAAATTTGAAGCTGCCAGACAAAAAAAACTTTTTTTATGGTAGCCCCCCCATGTTTGGAAATTCAATATTTTTTTAGTTGTTCCAAGTTGTTCTAGTTGTTCCTAACATTGTTCCAAAGTATTATTTGAAAAAACTCAAATTTGAAGCTGTCAGGCAAAAAAAACCGTTTTTGAGATAGCCCCACCTCTGTGAAGTTAGCCCCCCACTTTTAGAATTTTATTATTATCTAGGTTGTTCTGGGTTGTTCTATGTTTGTTCTACATTGTTCCAAAGTATTATTTGAAAAAACTCAAATTTGAAGCTGTCAGGTAAAAAAAACCGTTTTTGAGATAGCCCCACCTCTGTGAAGTTAGCCCCCCACTTTTTGAATTTTATTATTATCTAGGTTGTTCTGGGTTGTTCTATGTTTGTTCTACATTGTTCCAAAGTATTATTCGAAAAAACTCAAATTTGAAGCTGCCAGACAAGAAAAACCGATTTCTATGGTAGCCCCCATGTTTGGAAATTCAATATTTTTTTAGTTGTTCCAAGTTGTTCTAGTTGTTCCAAACATTGTTCCAAAGTATTATTTGAAAAAACTCAAAGTTGAAGCTGCCAGACAAAAAAAAACGTTTTTATGGTAGCCCCCCATGCTTGGAAATTCAATATTTTTTTAGTTGTTCCAAGTTGTTCTAGTTGTTCCGAACATTGTTCCAAAGTATTATTTGAAAATATTCAAATTTGAAGCTGCCAGACAAAAAAAACGTTTTTATGGTAGCCCCCCATGTTTTGAAATTCAATACTTTTTTAGTTGTTCCAAGTTGTTCTAGTTGTTCCTAACATTGTTCCAAAGTATTATTTGAAAAAACTCAAATTTGAAGCTGTCAGACAAAAAAAACCGTTTTTGAGTTAGCCCCCCATGTTTGGAAATTCGTTATTTTTAAAGTTGTTCCAAGTTGTTCTAGTTGTTCCTAACATTGTTCCAAAGTATTATTTGAAAAAACTCAAATTTGAAGCTGTCAGACAAAAAAAACCGTTTTTCAGATAGCCCGCCAAATCAAATCGTACTAGAGACAATAAATAAATCAACAATAATTTCAAACAATGACGATCGTATCAGTACAACCGTGGGCTATATCGTTCCAATTTCATTTAATCATTTTGAATAAAATTAATAGTTATAAGACAAGAAAACATTACACTATAGGGTAAACTCCCTAATTGTTGGCACTTTAAGAGTAGGTTCCATGTCAGTCAGACATTAAATTACTATAAAATCACATCTAAATGAGTTAGTACACAACACATGTAACAGTATCAAGGAAATATAGTTCAATCTTTGTTTTCATAATAGTACAGTCAATGAAGGCAAAAATCAGCTATAACCTCCGATTTCGATGAACCTCCATCGATTTTCATGAAAAATGGTGATGAGGTGGGGGATACCATATGAAACAAAAGTGACATAGTGCCAACTTGCGCTTTTTCCCTAGGGGTAGATACCACCCCTTCTCGGGGGTAAAAATTATTTTAATAAAAATACTCCAGGAATCGATAGAAAGACAAATTCTAAGCAAAAGTTGTTATATTAAGTTTTCGAAATAAATCAATACTTTCTGAGTTAATAATGATCAAAGATTGTGATTTTGTGCCAAAAAATTCATGATTTAAGCGGTTTTTATAAATATCTCAAAAACTATGAGTTTAAAGAAAAATATATTATTACTAGACGCAACGAATATTCGGTTACTATTCGGTATTCGGCCTATTCGGCTGCTTTTATTATATTCGGCCGAATACCGAATACCTACATATTATTCGTCCGAATACCGAATACTTAAATAATATATTTTGTCATAGAGAAATAATTGGTAAAATGAAAATTAATATCGATTGATTACGTAGGTATATATTCATATTTTAATTTCTGTTATATATAATCATTAAAGTAGTCATTGGTACATAATCATCTTCTGAATTGGAAAAATGGAGGACTCTATGTATTTGAATTATTGTGGTAATCAAAATTTAAAAGGGTAAGGTTCTCATTTCTTTTATAATCATTTATTAAGTAGTTATTGGTACATAATTTAATAATTTTCTGTATTAAACAAGTTAAGAATTTTTCTATGCATTTGAATTATTTTCATAATCAAAATTTAGAAGGGGAAGGTTATGGTTTAGGAAGTAGTAGAAATTCTTTTTTTCTCGTACACCATCCCAGCTTCAGAGTAAAGGCGCTCTGAATAAACACTACTTCCTGGCGCCGACAAATACTTTGCTGCAATCTTAATCAAACACGGAAATTCAATTTTCCTTGCTGCCACCATGTATATGGGTTGTCATGACGTGATATATTACTAATATTTAAGAAAATATCCATTTCTGTTGAAACTGCGTTTGACTGAATTGCACTGCAAACAAAAGGGCGCGAAACAATCACGTTTGTACAAGTTTTTGGCGTTAAAATCCAACCGAATACTTTTGCCTAATATTCAGCTATTCGGTCAGGGGCCTCGCTGAATATTCGGTATACTGCCGAACATACTATTCGTTGCAAGTCTAATTATCACCAAAATTGAAGCTAATAAAAAAAACAAACCCCTTCTTTGAAAAACCTTCTTATATGAATTCAAAGTGAGCTGTAGGTACTTGTATGTATATTTTTTTCGACAAGTACTTAAATCTAAGTTTCCAACCCTAAATAATGGGAAACCGATGCATTTTGATGAATGGTTGGAATGAAGGGTTTATTTTTCGTTTTTCCTAAAAAAAATAAGTGTTATCTTATTTTTATTATAACTTTTTCAATTTTGAAGCTATTAACTTTTTACAGTGCTCATTATAAAGGTATTTCTGAGAAATTTAAAAAGTGCTCCGGTAGTGTATGTCATAAATTCATGGGTTTCCCGTTATTTAGGTTTGAATACTTAGATTTAAGTACTTGCCGAAAAAAAGATATGTACATACAATTACC